GTGTCACCCTATGGTCCTACGGGTAATTTCAGCATTGGTTGAACCTACAAGTCGAACGTGGCGGCCGAAGATTCAGAAGTTGATCGACGACGACAATCTTTTGGAGCATCATTGGAACGCTGATATCAAAGATGTTGAATTATGGGAGAATGAACGATGGACTCCAGCCACAGGTTGGTCCAAGACTGCCTTAAAAGCGGGAGAGAAACCGTGGACTGGCGGTGATGGCGAATGGATTGAAGTTCTTAAATCAGACTTTACGTGAGTATATTTAATATTTCTCTTGGATATTCCTGATAAAGAAAATAGTTCGGCAACTATTTCCTTACTTTCAAATTATAAATTCATCGAGACAGAAGATTGGAGGCTGGACTACGAAGGCGGGGTCGGTCCCAGTCCTCCAGGGAACAGTACGAATTCAAGTATATATTAAATTACATATATATTAACATAACTTTTAGATGGTTGATTATATACCGAGAATGCCTGGCAGAATCCTAGCTCTGTACCGTTGGACAATTGGAAGGCCCAAGGTGCTATGACCCGAAAGCGAAGATGGTTACGCAGAATATATCGAATATAGGTTTATGCTGCTTAATTATCCATGTATCTAATATTTGTATTTTTGCCATATTCGAAGCAAACTTTGCTTATTTCTCGGACAAATTTGAATATTTAGGACATTTTCTTACGTAATATAGAACTTCGCCGGACTTTAAAACGCTTTCTATCCCGCTTTCAAAGCATCCACTCACCGTCGATGACATCGACGACACCACCCCTACCCAAGGATATATCTTCTCTAAGGGCAGCAGCTCTATTAACATTAAAGTCTCGATCTAAACCTCGTCAACTTCAAGTACAACAACCAGGTCTGCGACCCTCTACAGATCATGTAGATGATAATTCTTCGGTCGCCTCAACGAAAAGAGCAGCTCCTTCTCCAGAGCTCGACTACGGATCAGATGATGGCATGGAAGATGCTGAGGGTTCAACTGAAGAGGAGGAGGCTCATGGCGGAGAGAAGGAGGAAGGTGAAATTAGTGAAGATGAGGCACCTCCGGCGAAGAATTTGGGAGGCCCTGCACCAATGGATGTTGACGAAGAGCCTCTTCCGGGTCTAATGTCTTTTTCTATGAGTCGGCAAGCTCAGGAAGCCCGAAGATCCTCGCCACCAAAGCAAGTCTCGGGAAAGCCGCCTCCTATATTCTCGGCGTCATCCTCCAATACCCCTTTAGCCTCGACTATATCTAAGCCCACGAAGTCAACACCACCCCTTCCTACTAATCGTTATACCCCATATAATTCTGTATCTATTCTCGAATCGAAACCTCGAATTTCTGAGCGTTCATCTCTCCCACGGCAACAAACGGCGTCGCCATCTCCTCGCCCCCAGACTCTACAGAGGCCCGCCATTCATGTTTCAACCATAGCGGATACTCTTCAACAAGGACAATCCAATGAAGTATCTGGTCGTATTGGCTTCATGCGGAGTCAGGATGGGTCCAGTATAAATGGCCTTGGTGCGCCACAAATGGAAGTAGCGTCCCCGGCCAGAGTTAATGATGTTTCTGCGCCCCAATCTGCTATTGCCAAGCAGATATATGCCAGGCCTTCTTTGAATAGTAAGTCGTTTCTTTGACTCGCCAATGTGCCACATGTTCACACGCATGCTTAGTGTCAGCAGGGGAGTTTGCAGAAGCGAAGTCAATTATTTTAGACCTACTAGGCTGGGGTGTACCTCCCGACTATTTCCTCAATTGTGGATTATCGCGCGAATCCGTATATTACGCCTTCACAGAGTTGAATTTGAAGTATGTCTCTCATAGTAGTCTGCTTTCAGAATGTATGCTAACTATCTGTCAGATTGCCATCCAACTTGAACACGGAAGGCATTTTACCGTTCATCCCACCCGCAGATTTTATGAAAATGACCATCTCATCCCCACCAACAGCCACGGAGATACGTGGTCCATCTACACACCAAAGTGGTCCCAGTCAATATGTGGGTGCATCGTCACAGGATGACGAGAGTAATATGGTCAATGGACAGAATGGCGTCAATAATGTATCAGTTTCTGGATCGACCAGCCTTTCTATTCCGATTACTCAACATCATCCTACTCCTCGACACACGGTTCCCGGAGTTGAGGCCAACGAGTCAGACTTCACAAATCCTACCTTCAGCCGAGATAAGGGTGGAAATAACGGAGTATCCACGCGCAGGCGATCGTTGTCACCAAGTGATCCTATACCTGGTCTTCAGTCACATGTCATTTCTCAAACTGATGTCACCATGACACCCCCTGAAGCCTCTAATCAAGGGTACTCTCGTAGCCTGGACGAAATCGAGACATTAAGGCGTCAAGAATTGCTGGCTCGGAAAGCCGTTCTAGCCAGTCGAAAGGCGAAGAGCAGAGCTTCCCCTCCGGTCAAGGCAGTCACTCCCGACTCCGATATATCGACCAAAACTGTTCCACCGCTGGTTCCCCCAGAATCTGTCGATGACTTCTTGAAGAGTATCACATCAACTTCCACGAATGCCAGCATTGATACTGCTACTGTCACAGACGCGTTGACAGTCACAAGATCTCCTGAAAGCATGGACATGGACGTGGATACCCAACCGAAGAATACCATTTCAGTAACTCCCAGAACCGCGACTTGGTCAAAACCACCTGCCGCTTCCTCAGCCCCTGGCGCATTTGACCGACCTGTTCCGTCAAGAAAGAGCACTGTCAGGCGACCAGTTGCCTCTGATTTTGTTGATAATGACTCATCCTCCCGAGGCAGTCCTGCTCCTGGATTCGGATCGAGTCAATTAATCAACCAACTTAAACCTCAGCTATTATCCATTCCTAGCTTCGCCAATGTGCCGCGGAGTCAAAAGGTTGTCATTGACTTCAGCGATTCTGAGGATGAGGTCATGGAAGATATCGTCGCTGATACACGACGTGAAGCACGCATCGCCCAAACTCCCAGCTCAGGCTCTCCTGGAGCAGGCACGCCAGAACCTATCACGATCACGGGTCCTCCGCCCGCTCTTGCTAATGTTACCCCTGATGCTTTGGCTTTGAAAGAACAAGAAATCAAACGCATGAAAGCATTGATAGCAGAGAGAGAGAAGAACCGGCAGAAGCAATTGGCGAACATGGTGTGTGCTACGATTTGAAGTACTGTGCTAACTGATGATGGTTTCTTTCAGGCCAAGAACGCGACTCCTCAATCGACACGGTCGGACACGCCTACAGCAAGTGCTAGTCCCAAACCACAATCGCCCACTGCAAGTTTAGTATCTCAGCCAAATACGATCTCTGGACCGTCACAGTCAGAGCACGAGAAGAGTACCGAATCTCCTCCGCCTCAGATTGAAGCTGAGGAAGACGCTGTTATCCACGATATCATGCCGACTAGTATGCAAGATACTGCACCGACAAGTATGCAGGATACTGCATCGGCAAGTATACAAGATCATGAACCGACTAGTATGCAAGATATCACACCAACTAGTATGTAGTACGACTCTTCTTTTGGGTATTATAGCTGATTCTGCTATAGGCACTGAGGCTGATGGCACCCCTGTGCTAGCCAGTGCGGACGCTATCGGTTTATAGATTTTTGTCTCTAGAGCAGACCTTTTCTTCTGACTTACGTGCTACAGATACCGTGCATCCCGATGAAGAGGACGTTTCGAATGGAGAACAGGGTATGTGGACTTTTAGTGCCGCATTCGTTTATCTGAGGCGCACAAACTTATAGTAGCAGAAACTGGGCATGAACAAGTGGCAAGCGTCGTTCCGGTTTTACAGCGCTAGGACGCTTTTCCTCCATCGGTCGATACTAAGTTGCTGGTCTTTTGTTCTACTGGCCTTCTTTTTACAGATGAACGAAATGACAATCACACCCGCTATGCCTATCGACGGGATGAAGATACCTAGTTCGGAGGTGCGTCAGAGGCTTTACGGCTGATTCAATATGGTATATATTTCCCGGTTCGTGCTCAACGCCTCGTACATCCGCTTTTGTCACAGGCTTCAGATAACTCGAACGGGGTCTCTCGTTTTCTCGCTTATAACTCACCTTTAACCACTTTCACCTCTTCTTATTCGTGCATACCTTCGGCTTCTTTTGCTTCCGTAGATTCTTTAGACTCTTCCCCTCAATTTTCTTTTTCTTTGCCTTCGCTTTTGACGGATATACCCATTTCCCAACAGCTTTCGACATTGTTACGGCCTCTTAAGGAGATGACACTTCGGAAGCTTGATCCCAAGCGTTCTATTTGCCAGTTCGAGATTCCGGGCGCAGGCAAATGTCGAGATCCAGGATGTGCCCACGTCCATCTAGTTGACTTTGAGCCTACTGGTAAGTAATCTTCTTCGCACAGTCCTTCCACTTACGGTTCTCGTTCCTTGTTACCTCCGTATAACCTTTCTTCCTCTTTTCTTCAGACGATGAAACAGCGCGATATTTAGCTAAAGCGCTACCAGCGCCACAGCCGGTACTAGAAGATATCAGAACAACATTGGCACGCGTTCGTGCATCAAGACCGAACAAAGGCTTCGACTTTCGCGTTTCTCAAGCATTGCTACAGCTGGGCCTACGATAATCTGTTCAAGATCGGTTTTAAGCATGGATTCTGATTGTCTCGACGGCTCCTTGTAGCCCCTTTCTTCCTGGACCCCAGGGTGAAGACCGAAGTTGAGAACATAAAGAGCAGGCGGCCACCGAAGTTCAGTCGTGAGCTGGCTTTGGCGAAAGTTCTCATGAGAGATGTCCGATTGTATCCCATTCCTTTATTTCTCTGCATCTTTCTCTCTATTTCAAAGAGCAATTATATTTCGTTATTGTACATGTATCATCTAGGAATAAAATGGTTATCAAATGAATTCACGGTCGCGATCTTGGTCGACAGGTGTTGGATTAATTTTAAATACGGTTGAGCGACACTTTCTCTGCATGATTCACGAATGGTATAACATATATTGACGGGATAACACAGAGTCGCAGTAGCTCAGTGGTTAGAGTATACGATTGCAAATCGTGTGGCCCCGCGTTCAAATCGCGGCTGTGACTTTCTTTTTCCTTTACTGTACTTGATTTTCTTTCATACCACCTTATGTGTGGTCTTTTCACCACAGATGCCTAACTTTTGGGCTGTACCATTTTACACAAACCAAAGTAAGAAAATTTTGTATATGTACAAACAACAATGAATGTAACCTTAAATGGATATCAGAGGGTATAAGGAAAACAGAATTAAATAAATAAACCAGAAGCTGAATCATCACTCACTCAGTCCTTATCAATCAGATGCATATGAACCTTATTGTTCCTTGCACTGTTGAAGGACGTCTTCCACATAATTTGCCATAACGCGTTGACCTTCCTTCGCTGGGTGTCTGGATATCAATGTAGTTAGTCAATGAGCATGAAATTCAAACATAACAAAACCTACGAAGCAATCCAATAGAAAGTATGTTCAGGGTCGTCACTGATCTCCAGTAAGGATGGTTCACACAAAAAAAAAACATGAAAATAATCCTTACCAGATATTACCCGGGTCACAGCATGGTCCAAACTGACAGTAGCCGTTCGAGGTATAACCAAATGCTTGGTATCCAGGACTTTGATTATTGATGATATCGTTCCACATAGGTGCGAAATCTACAAAAGCGACTCGGAAAGGAGGAAACATCTTTGCGTTCCTGCGATCGTTGAGTCCAGAGAAGATCTGTTGCTTGTACGCATCGCCATCTGGAGCTTCTTGACCGATTCCATAGACATCTGTTGAGTGACGATATTAATTATCGGGAACTATTATCTGATTTATAGGCATAGCAGACATACCTAAGACAAGGAAGTTGCGTGCTTTCGTAGTTCCCTGAATAAGTACATCCATAAGGTTTAGAAGGGACTGAGCAGCCTCTGGAAGATTATCGCCATCCACTGATGGATTCCTCGTCAGCACTAACAGACATTCTTGGGTTGTGTACATACCTTGTGAAGCTAGGAAGTCGTTGATGCCAAAGAAAACTACGTATAAGGTTTTCTCGGGATCTAAGGTATGATTCTGACTCAAGAATAACGCCTCTGGATAAAGTGTAAAGATGGATGTAACATAAAATGAAGAGGACAAGAGTAACCTTGGTGTACGAAGTCACTATTGTTGGCTCTACTTGGCCATAGAGTACGGTTCGTAACTGCTGCACTGATCTAAGCAGTAAGTTAGGTTCGGATATGACACCTGATCTGCAATAATGACTTACTGCGTAGTTCATGACAGTAATGTTATAATCATACGCTAAATCTTCCACTGAACAACAATATATATCAAATGGCAAAGTTGACGTGAAGAATCATCATACCCCACATGTAGCCATTAGAGCTCCTTCCGCCGGCCTCTGCGTTGGGTGGAATAAGAACAGCTGGAGGAGGCGGCGTTCCATCTCGATTTCCTCCAGTATCAGCTAGAGGCAGGCGAAGGTTAAAATGATATCCATCAGCTTTCACACAAGCCCATGTACAATCTAGGCCTACTATATGAATCTCCAAAGGATACGATGGTATCAAAAGCATGGAGGTCAGGAAGACCAGCGTTGACGTCCGCAAAGGATCCATTAAGGGAACCGCAACGAGGTCCTATGGCTAGATGTATTCCATCGTTGTTATCGTTTCGCCCAATGGGGTGAGGAAGAGGATCCGCAACCAGTCTTGAACGATACGATGCAAATACGAGGGAGGAAAGAGAGAGGAGAACAGCGAAGACGGCGACCATGGCGCGACTCAAGATTGCTCCTCTGGAAGGCTTTGGAGAGTCAGAGGCAGACTCAGCTCCTGGAGCATTGTTAACGTCCTGGCTCGTATTTATACATGAACCGTAGTTGTTTGGCGGAAGAATCTGAATTGAAGTAGCACGAGACTCGGAATCTTCATCGTCATTGCCTGCAAACTGGGGGTCAAAGGCCACATGTTTGGACGATGATGGGGTTCGTTTTCCTGACCGCATGGATACTCTTCGAAACGGCCCGTAAAGGAGATAATATTGGTGAGTAGAACGCTCGTATAGAGGTCTATACGACTCCTAAGGAACGCTATATGGGAGTGATGGACTCAGATCGTCACATGTGACTCCTCCGCCCGCATCATATTCGCATTTTATATTCTTCCAGAATAGAACAGTCTCAACTCTCAAATGGTTCTCAAATATTCTATATAATGAAGCTATAATATGGGTAAAATACACAAATATGGCATGATGCAACCCCAAGTAAGGTCATGAGGAAGCTCTTCTGGCGACTAGCATGTCAAAGCTGAAGTTGACGAAGGCCACATGAAAGACTAGAAGATCGAACCATGCGGTTAAAGGAGATGAAGAAGGCTACGAATGCATACTTACTGACCAGACTACGGCGATATTCAGACGCACAAAGCAATCGTAAGGGAGTCCGCTGACTTGCCGTTGAATCACTGACTCTCCTCCGCTCATTAACGTAAAATAACTTGGGCTATACATATATCATTACGATTCTGATAAATTGGTACCTACCGGATATATCATGTAGACACCTGTAACACAAGCTCTGTATCCGATTGTATTAAAGGAGGTATAGGTGGAACCATTGATTCGCTGACTTCTGCACTGTGAACACTAAATCCGCATCAATTCAGCGGGCGATCCGTAGATTTTTGACGTTCAACGGGGGGATAATCCGTCGAATGTAAATCCGTTGAATTTCTGGCAACAGACCCCGAATTACCATCCGAGAAAAAATGACGGGTTCATCCGTCGAACCATCCGTTGATTTTCAAGAAGATAATTTTTGAGCATTTCGGGATCTAACCCGTTGATTTTTGACGTTTCACTAATAGCCCGTTGAATGCAAATCTGTTGATTGAATGCAGTATCACTGCCCGAGAGAAAATGACGAATTTTCACATCGCTTAATCCGTTGATATTCCACGGATTTATATCCTCACATGACGGACTTCTCTCAAGTAGAATCAAAGTAATAATCAAGCAAGAGGCTATGAGAGCATGAGGCAGAGATGGTGATGGTCTTTGACCATGCCTTCCATTTTAAGTAACTACTGGTGCAGTGGTTAATTGTGAAAGTTTGTCAAGTGAATATACCTATAAGTCGCTTGTTCAAATACCAATGTCCAATAATTTACTAGTACATAAATAAGACAATTAATAAATCACAATGCTAACTACCTTAGACAGTATAGTCAACCAGCAAATGCATAGGACAGTACATTAGGAAGAAGAAAAAAAAACTATTGCATTTGTCATTTTGCATCAGGAAAGTGGGCAAGTGCTATAGCTGTCATTATAGCGATTATAGCAACTACGTATAGCGCCGCTACTAGCTTCCATACTTTGTTGACAGCTACTGTACCTTCCATAGCACTACCTTCAGACGCCTCATTCGAGCATTCCTCTCTATTATAAAAATATGTGAAGTATCAATAAATATATTATCATCAGATATATTGATATTATAGCGCAGCCTCGGCATTATAACCCTGTTGAAAGTGGGTATCGTCGTCTACAATGGACGGCTGCTATGGAAAACTAGGCGCCGTGGTCAGCTTTCCTGATGTGATTACCCATCAATATTCAACAGATGACTATACAGTCAAAATCCACGGAATAACCGTTGGTTTTCCATGGGATGGACGAGCTTGGGATCCATTGAATTGACTCACAACTCGGGGGGTTCCCAACGGTTATTCAACGGATTCAAAAAAGACGGATAATCCGTCAAAATTTCTAAAAACTGTTGATATTCAACGTGGAAAGCGTCGCTTATTCAGGGAAAATACATTCAAAATGGACGGAGTTTAAGTTCACAGTGCTGGGTTTCCATGCAACAAAGGTGCAATACTTGCAACAAGTTAGGAACTTGAAGAAACGGTGTTGTTGAATGGGTATCTTCCGGCAAGTGTAAGCTTATCGGAAGTGAGATAATTAAAATGTTTGGCCCTGCTTGACAATAGATCTTGTCGTTTGAGAGAATAATGGAAGATAATTATCTTTGAGCTGGCAATCCAAAGAAAATGGCTATGAAAGGTTATCGCCAGACCAGTAGGTCTGCCGAAAGAAGTCAGGAGAACGGAACGGGGCGAAAGCGATCCAATGTAGTGCATCCAAAAGTGTCTTCGAATGCCAAATACTCGACTTGAGCATCGACATAGCTTTCGAGAAAATTCTTTATGGCCTTTCAGTGAGAGTCAAAGCGGTGGAAGGCGGTCGGTGGTGGATTGTGGTCAACAAAAGAACACGACCGCGGGTGTACAAACAAAGCTTCCGCGTTATAGCGAACGAAGTCACTAAAATTCGTCTTCACGCTCGCGCTTCGGCCATTTTCATTAACAGTGAGGTCTACAGGTCCTTAACACTACCTGTACTCTGAACACACGTCTATGGCAACAAACGGCGTTCCTACTAACCAGAATGCTAGGACAGCTGCTGCCAAACCTGCACCTACTGGGCCTGCGCCACCAGCTCCTGCTCCTGCCCCTCCCACTGCACCTACAAATACATCAACAGGTGAGCTAATATACTTGTATGATCACTACCGGTTTCTCAATCAATCTAGCAGCAAACGGCGCAACGTCACATGGCCATCCACCCGCTACCAATGCTGCTTCCTCGCAAAAAGGAAAGAAAAAGGCTGAAGCGGTGGACCCTGTTACGATGTACGAGACAGTGAGAAACCGAATTGCTGCCTTGGAGGAAGAAGAGGTGCATGGAGAAGAGGAGGAAAGGAGGATAGGTACGTTTTGTCTATGCATATTCCTTATGCAAGCGATCTCGGAGCTGGTATATTGACATTCGGGATAGCGGACGAAGCAAGGAGAGCTGTCAAGGGAGTCTCGGAGTCTGGAGTGCACGCGAAATATGTGGACTTGGTATGAGCCTTTTCGGTTTCCCTCGTGGACGTATCATCTGACTGGGCTTGCAGTTCCAAGAGCTGAAGCGAGCTGAGAGAGAACACGCGAAAGAGAAGCAGAAACTAATCAAGGACAAGGATAATGGTCAGAAACCCATGCTATATCTTTATTGCCTT